TAGGTAACCCATGGAGTACTGGGGTCATCTGTAGGTGACATATCTCCTGCCATAGCTTTGGAAGGCACACCTGCACTCTGCTGGACAGAAGATTGTGGGGCTAACCTGGAATGTGACCTTTGGGCATTGCAATCTGCATTGTGGAGCTTTCCAGACCCTAGTGTACTGTGTTAGCCACAGAGTGCTTTCTAGGTCCAAAGTCCTGGCACAATCTCTGGTGTGACTCAGTCTCTGAAGACCCACTCTGTGAGTAAGACCATGGATGGGGCCAAGATAGACTGGAATGTGACCTTCAGGCACTGGACTTCGCATTCCAGATCTGTGTTCCCCAGTTTCAGATCCATGTTACAACTGTGCAACCTAGTCTCTGATGTATAAGCCTCCGGAAGTGGTGAAGGTAACCTGGTATGTCACCTTGTGTTGTACATTGTAGTGCTTTCCATACCCTTGTATATTGTGTCATTTAGCCAGAGAGCTCTCCAGGTCCACAGCTTTGGCACAGCTTCTGCTGTGACCCAATCTCTGCAGTCGCAGCCTCTGAGAGAGCCCCTAATGGGTTACCCTACCCTGATATGTGACCTTTGGACAATGGACTCTGCTTTATGGCACTTCCTAGTCCTTCACAGACTGTATTAGTAACTTGCACAGTGTTTTCCAGTTGTAGAGTCACGGCACAGCCTTTTGGAACCCCTCAGTTGGATGGCTTCTGGTCATCCCAAATGTTCAAGAATTACTATAATCCTGTGCCCCCCAATGGGAAAAGAAAACAACCCTCCCAGTGCCGAGGGCATGTGGCCTCGTATGGGAGGGAGGGAGGGGCCTGGCTCTGCCAGGCCTATGCTCGGATTAAGGGTCTTGTTGGGAATTTTAGGGGGGATCCCACATTCTGTTTAAAATTGCTGCCAGACCTTAAGGGCCTGGTATGACTTTGAGGGGGAACCCCACACACTTTTTGAAGTACTGAAGCAATCCAGAGATGGAAAGGATGAGATAAAGGAGCGAAACTGCCCCTCTACCAACCAATGTCAGCTCCTTTCGCTTTGGCATAGCCAGAGTTTTATAACTGGGCCGGGGACGAGAGGAGCCCCACACGAAGGTGTCGAACGCCTTTTGAACTTTTCTCAGGTAAAGGGTGGGGAGAGCGATGGGTAGAGTCTGAAACAGGTATAAGAACTTAGGGACAACGTCCATTTTAAGCACATTAATCCGACCCAACCATGAGAGCAACTTACGGTCATAGGCAGCCAGGTCTTGGGAAACATTGGCTAGCAGAGGGTGAAAGTTCAGGGAGTAGAGATCAGCTAGATTACTGGGGAGTTGGATCCCCAAGTATTTTCAAAAGATTGGGCATATACGGAAGGCGTAGTTACTGTTCAGGAGACGCAGGTCCGCTTCCATCAGGGATACATTTAGGATCTCTGATTTAGAGATGTTCACTCGGAAGTTGCTCAGGGCTCCAAAACGAGCGAATTCCTGTAGGATGGTGGGCAGGGCAATATGGCGTTGAGTGACGTAGAGCAAAAGGTCATAGTGCAATAGTGCAAGTTTGGACCTATGGGAGCCAACAAGCACGCCTGAGAATGTGGAATTCTGCCGGAGAGCCACCGCCAGATGTTCCATGGTGAGGACATAGAGGGGGGGGGAAGCGGACAGCCCTGTCGGGTGCCATTGGAGATCGGGAAACTGGGAGAAAGAGAGCCATTAACTAGGACCCTAGCCGATGGGTTAGAGTATAAGGCCATGATGTTACTCAACATGCGAGAGCGAATGCCCATTTGTAGCAATGTGTGTTTGAGGAAAGTCCAGTCCAGATGGTCGAACGCTTTATCAGGGTCCACTGACAGTAGGCAAAGTGGGGTATGGGATGTTTGAGCATATTGCGTCCGCAGCAAGGTCCTGATGGTATTATCCCACGCCTTGCAACCCTGGACAAACCACACCTGATCGGGATGGACCACCCCCGGGAGGAGAGTAGGAGTGGTCCTTGTCCGGTTTGCGGATCAGGGATATATGGGCCTCCAAGGCTTGTCGTGGAAAGGAGGCTCCCTGAGCTACAGAATTGAAGACCCTAAGTAAAAAGGGGGAGATCTGTTCCCGGAACATTTAGTAAAATTTTACAGTAAAGCCATCAGGGCCGGGGCTCTTGCCCGCAGGAGTGGACCCAAGTGCCACGCGCAACTCCACCATGGTGAAGGGCGACTCCAACGCCTCCGCTTCAGGATCTACCAACACCGGAAGAGCAGTGTCATGAATATAAGTCGACACCTGAGCATCGTGGGTAGATGGAAGAATGTCGGGCCCCAGAAGATTGTATAATCAGGCATAAAAGTCCGCGAATGTGCGTCGGATCTCTGAAGGGGAGTTCACAAGGACATCTGTTGAGGAGTGAATATGAGGAATATATGTATGCGCGGATCTGGGGTGTAGCAGTCTTAACGCTGCGAAGTTTGGCAAAGGATAGGGCTGAGTGTCCTGTGGACGAATCCAGATCAGGTTCCAGAGTGAGATTAAAGTCCCCACCCACGAGGACCAATCCCTCTGCAAAGTCTCCCAGCTCCTGTAAGAATTGGACTGTGGTAGCAGCCTGGTTGGTATTAGGGAGATAGAAGTTGGCGATAGTGTATGTCTGACCCCATAACGATAGCTTAAGCAGCAGAGACCCCCCGCAAATTTTGGACCTGATTGGTACTATGATACCAAGTGGTGAAGTACCGATTGGCACACGAGGGAGCGCGATCAGTCTGGAAATGCGTTTCCTGAAACAGGACAATATGCACTCGTGTTTTGTGCATATGGTATAGTATCTGCCCCCTTTTGGAAGGGACATTTAGGCCCCTGGCGTTGTAGGTGCATAGTCGTAGCTCCGCTGGGGTAACCACAGGCGGGGCCATGGCAGGGGGGGGGGCTTACGGAAACAGAGAGACAGAGAGCGAACCCAGGGGAAGTAGAGCCCCAGGGACAGAGGGGGAAAGAGACCAAAGTAGGAGAACAGATGGAAGTAAAGAAGGGGATGAAGGGTACATGAAGAGTACCAGGGAAAAAGGGGGGAGGGGGAGGGAGAAAGACACACAACAAGGGGGGAAGAGAAAGGAAAGAGAGACGAAGAATGAAAACAAAAGGGCGGGGAGTTCCCACTACTAAGATTACAGACTACTAGCAAATGCTAGAATAACAACAGTCTCCAACGGGAGATGTAGTACCTATGTGGGGGAAGGTGGTCGAGAATGAAGAAGCGAGGTGCAGACCGGGGCAAAATCTGAAGAACTATATGCCCCATACTAGTAAACCTCGACACTCACGGGAATCACTAGCCTCAGAAGGTCTGCGGACAACTCCCATCGGTGAGCCAGGAAGACCCCCGCTGAGGTGCACCTCGGTATATAAGAGAGCCCAGCCCTGAGGTCAGCATATCCAGCCCACAGAGAGACCCCTGTTGGCGAGCCAGGAATTCCTCCGATGTCCAGGGGGGTTTGAGCTAACAAATCCCGCTGGCATGGACAGCTGCATGCTTTAAAACAGTGTAGGATATATTAAAGACAGCTTGCCCCCAATATGACAAAGAACATTAAGAAGCATAAGGCATAACCCAGTATAGGAGATGCGGGGTGTTATGGAAATTCGCTTGGTTAAACGCACAAATCCATGCTGCGCTAAAGTGCGCCACAGTATGCCAAACACAAAGAATTTCCCCGTGCTTAAAAGCACGTGTATTACGCTCTTTTGTGCAAGGATCGGAGGTACCTCTGTAGAGCCATGTAGAGTCAGACACGATGCTGGTTCAAGCTGGAGTCAGTGTAAAAAGGGCAGAACAGACCCCCAACTCCTTCATTTATTAAGGTCAAAGGACGACGCCCAGTGGGAGACGGCTTTACAACCTCAGCCAGTCAGCCCAGAAAGTACAGGTACACATCAAAAGGGACAGGGGAATACACCAACATGGCCGAACAGTGAAATGCACACACCTTATCCCTGTAACACAAGGAAGGATGAGTCATGTTCATTGTCCTGATCCTCCATGTGGTTGCCCATCCCCCATCATCATCAGCATGGACCCCATTCAATATTGCTCAGAGTGACCAGTATCGAGTAAGACAATTCTACTTGTTCTTACAGGTCTCAGACTATCTGGGGAGACATTGCTAATGCGGTTATCTATATACGGTACGAGTATACGGACAAGGCAGATTATCAATGTCTTCTTATAAAAGCAGATATGTATCCAAAAGGGATAGCGCAGTCCGCAATAGAGGTATAATACGCATCTCGGTATACGGACTTCGCTTCGCTAATGTGTACATACGTTTGAAGGCAAGGAGCCCAGCGCATTGCACTTAGTACTCACAAACCGGCAAACGCCTCCACACACTGTGAACATGTCTCCAAGCCCATGAGAAGGCTTTCATACTGACGGTTTTACCACTGGTCCAGATTCAACCCAAGTACCCTCTGCTAGAGCGTTCCTCGGTTAAATCCGACACAGGGAGACAGATGACAATCCCTAAAACACACACATCCTAGAATAAAATGTCCACATAATTCCATATAATAACATTTCCACAACAGGGGCGACCCGGCACGTGATTCAGTAGAAACCCGCCCGGGGCGCCACGGGGTCGTCCAAGGGTCACCTCCAACTGTCAAGCATCTCAAGGGTTGCTAGGGAAATCCTAGGAGGCCATCGCCCACCACCCCCAGGCCTCAAAAGGGGCGAGGGGGGCGCTACGGGGAGGCGGCGGCCTTCTTCGGCGACACGACCCTCTGCGCCATGCTTCGGCCGGTCGGCATAGCAACCTCTGTCGACGTCAGGCGGGCCCATAGAGATCACTGGCGTCCGTGGATCCACGACGTCTGGAGAAGGGGGCCGTTTACCAGAGGATGTGGGGGACAACATAAGGTCCAGGGCCTTCTGCCCCGAGGGTTGGGTGGAGGAGCAGAGTCTTTGCATAGGGGTGGAGGCAAGCGCAGCCGCGGCCTTCTTCCGTGCGACGGCTTTCGGCGCCATGTTGCGGCTGGCTGGTGTTGCGGCTTTGTTTGGACGGTGCCTGAAAAAGGAAGCAATGTCCTGGGTCCAGGAGGTGGAGGGAGTCGTGGGCGTAGTCTGGGTACCGGGCATAGGGCAAAAGGTAAGTTCTGAGCTGTATAGTTTAGTAGATGATAGCCCCAGGTCGGCAGAGCTCGGATCTGTGCCTCCTTACTCCTCCATGGTCGGCCAAGCCCCCCCTGCTATTGGCTATTTTAATTTGAAATAGCCAATAACAGACTGGCTATTGAAATCCCTCCCACTGAGTAGGGGAGCGGACCTGAGAGAGAAAGTTGTTTCTCAGTTCTGCTCCTCTGCAGTTTGAAAAAGCCGGGGGGGTTGAGTGGTCAAGACTGCACCCTAGGCAGCACTGCACTCTAGGCGGCTGCCTAGTTTGTCTAGTGGAAGCACCAGCCCTGTCGCTACCCAAGAAAATGACCAAATGCGTAAAAGGGAGAGGGTAGGGTTAGGATTATACATTGTCTAACATCTGAGTGAAGGTCCAATTTAAGGAGTTATTGGCCCATAGCTGAGATGTAAAACGTGCGATGGATATAAAGGTTCCAGAGATGCAGTGGTTAAAGGATGAGGTGGCAACTCTGCATCCAATATTATATGTAACTGTATTTCATCAATCTGATCTACCAATAACATTCTTCCATTAGTACATTCGGTGGTCCATGAGCTTTTTAAATGTTGCATATCAATTACATATAAAAGGCAGGTTTCCAATTATCAAGTAAGGCCTGGAGCTATGGATAGCAGAGGAATGTGGATAGGAAAGGGTTAAAGAGGGAAAAGGAAAATGTTACAGAAGGGTCACTTACGGGATTGGATGAAGGGGTCGTTCAGGAGGGGCTTCAGGAAGGTAGTCAGGAAGGAGGAGTCCGGAAGTTAGTTGGGAGTCCAGCAACAGAAGAAGAACTTCCCACGCACCCGCCCTGAGAGGTGGTTTGTGTCTTGGCGTGTTTGTCCTAGCTATGGCTTGGCGGTTTGGATCCTTGGAGGCAGTTGTAAGTGGTTGCATATCTTGACGGGGGGACCCATCCGTGGTGTGGGTGTCCTTCGGTAATCATACGATCATATGGGTATGACCGGTTAATATGGACCAACGTGGGTCTGCGGGCAATTTAGTTACGTTTAGTTACAAGTAAGGTGCCCGCAGATACTGGTCTGTTTAGAGTGCGATTGCCTTCAAGGACCTTGAAACCAAACAAGTTGGTACAGTATGGTTATGGGTTTGTTGTTGTTATTTATAATGTTATTTATAATAAAAGACTGCTGTGGCCATTTAAACTCCCGCTGTTGTGCGGCGTATCGATTGGTAACATGGGACGGGGGTTTGAAGTGGTGTGGGTACTGGAGTAGGGACCTCTGAGCTACCTTAGTAATGTAATCATGGCAAAATGGCAAATGCATGAAACCAACAACTTCTTTTGAATCAGCAATTTCCAGCAGCATGTAATTAACTTCATTAAGAACTTCCATATTCAGAACTTGTATATACCCCTGAGTAGACACTTATTCAGTCGCAGGTGCAGTGCACCCCTTGTGGAATTCCATTCTTGTTACCATGTAGAACAAATCCTATGGAGGATTCACCAGTCTATAAAATCAGATCACTACCTGTGCTGACGGCTCATTGAATGGAAAAGTTGTTTATCATCCTCAGCATCACGGTCCGTGATGTGGCCATTCTAAATGGAAGTTGTATACATTGCCACAGTCTCCTTCCTTGTATGAGAAGAGATGAGATCATGGAGAACGTTACTACGATTGGTAGTCATATATTTCTCATGGGCCTTGCAGAGCTAGGTAACTTGAGATATTTGTATTCCTTCACAACTCTGGTCACCTATCTAATTGTCATGGTGTTGTGTTCGGTGATTGTGCTCGTCACCTGGACTGAGGAAACCCTCCATGAGCCCATGTACATTTTCATCTCCAACCTCATGCTGGCGGACATGTATGGAAGCACGGCCTTGATGCCCAAACTGATCATTGACTTGGTGACGGGGTGTATGATGATCTCATTAACGGAATGCTTGGCCCAGGGCTTCTTTCTCCAGAGCTTTCCTCCTGTAGAGATTTTGACTTTCACTGCCATGGCGTACGATCGCTACTTGGCCGTTGCCCACCCTTTGATGTACCCTATATGGATGACCAACAAGAGGGCTTTCAAAATTCTCGTGGTGATATGGATTTATGTGTATGTAGGGATATGTGCGATTGTGCTCATAGCTTCAAGGCAAACTCTGTGTGGTGTTCAAATCAACAGCGTGTTTTGTGAAACCATTTCCCTTACACACTTGTCCTGTGGGAACACAACACTCAGCATAGTCTTTGGGTTTACATGGACCATGCTCATGATAGTTGGTTGTGTGTTTGTTGTAGTTTACTGCTATATAAGGACATTTCTTGTCTGTCTTAAAATATCTCAGGAAGCGTGCGATAAGGCCATCCACACCTTAGTGACGCACATCATCGCCTTCTTCACGTTTTTGGCTGCAGCATTATTTATAGTTTTCAGATACATGCTTAAAGGTGAGTCCCTTAATTTGCTCTCGCACTACATAACATCCGTCACCGGGACTCTGTCTTTTACCTTAAACCCAATAATCTACGGGATCAGGACAGAAGCTCTTCGAGTGAAAATTATTCAAAGGCTGAAGAAAAATATAACATTTATCAGAAGCTGGACAAGGAAATAGACAACCAGGTTTTTGTGAAAAAATAAATAAAATAAATGCATTAGATGATTACACAGGACAAGTTTTGTATGATACAAAGGTGTGTCATGAGTCAAGAAAATACTCTGTTGACCAGATGTATCGTTAAAGTGCATATATCATCAAAAGTTTTGATTTAAGGTATATTTTGGATAGATACTCACATCCCCAAAGACTTAAACTTTGAATGGGAAGTAAGATTATTATTGGAAGGTTCCCCCTTGTCCCAATGGCCACCTCCTTTGTCTATCCCTTGGCCCAACGACCTCCTCTTCTGCCCACCCCTTGGTAAGGCCCTGCTTACACATGGCTCCTGGCTTGATTCCCATACCCTGGACAAATCCGGGGTACACTCCTTCTTCATTTCATTATTATTATTTTCCTCATTTTTGGCTTCACCATTTCTCCGATAAATATGTTTATATACATGTCTGATAGGTATGTTTATTTATATTTTTGTATTATAATTATAGATCATGGATTTAAAAAATATATATTAATGTGGGTTTTAACCTTACTCTATCAAAAATGTCAAAAAACTATTTGCCTGAGCATTTACATTAAATCATGTATACTAGGGATGCACCGATACCGATACTAGTATCGGTGCCGATGCCGAATATTTGGGCGAGTACTCGTACTCGCACAAATGCTCCGATGCCTAGCCAGGTACTTCCGGTATCAGGAAGCCGGGCAGCGCGTCATTACACACTGCCCGGCTTCCTGAATGGCTGGGAAGCCGGCTCCATGCTCCCTCGTCACTTGTGAGGCAGGGCATTGTGTAATGACTTGCTGCCCGGTTTCCTGATTGGTCGGGAAGCTAGCCAATCAGGAAGCCAGGCGCCGTGTGATGACGCAACGCCCGGCTCTCTGATTGTCCGGGAAGCCGGCTTCATGCTCTTTCATCACCTCGTGACAAGGGAGCATGGAGCCAGCTTCCCGGCTAATCAGGAATAGTGATGGGCCGAACACCCCCGTGTTCGGTTCGTATTGGAACAACGGCCGAAAAGTTCAAACCTAATGCAAGTCAATAGGGGTCGAACTTTCGAAAATGATTGCCCCCTTTAAGAGGGCTTATATGCAAGTTATATTGCCAGGAGATTTGTGCAATTTAGTTGCGCTCAGAGGGGGAAGAACACGCCTAATTACCAGCTGCAACAATGTATATAAGTAATGTTCATATAAAGCTGGTATGTTGCGCTTGGTGTTGTGTATTCCCACTAATGTTAATCTCTACATGTGTGTCATACACTTTGTGATATTTGGATAATTCTAGGTGTTTATGAGTTTAATAATTACTCTGTTGTGAATATTGATAATAAATTAAATAAGGATATGCCCTATTCTAATTCTACCATAATAATATTTTTAAGTGATGGAGATAATTATGTGAATGCTGTATACAACTAAGTGCCTAATAAAACTTTAAACCTTATATTGATGAGTGTTTCTTTTTATCTCTCTCATGTGATTTATAGTGAGAAGTGTTCCAAGGTTTAATAAACCACACTAATCCAAAAAATGTGTGTTTAAAATATATCGAATAGGTATTCAGTGTTACGAGTGCGTTATACGCTATTCCTTCTTAATTTCCCGTGTATCTATGAACCAAATTTTAGTAAACATCCTTATTGAAAAAAGTGATTGTGCAAATAAGTGATCACTTTCTCCCCCAGGGAAAAAATAATAACCAATAATTCAAACAAAAAAGCTCTGTGAAGTGATCACCTTGTGGGTTCAAACTATTTAAGACTTAGGAGGGAATGAATTTCATAGACAATATCTAATGGTGGCTTGAACAATCTCTCCAGGAGAACTGAAAAAAGATTTCAAACCTTCATATATTTGTAGTGAAATCGCTGTACTATCTGTTACCCTGGATTACCACCTTTTCTTCATTGTAGGAACACTTCAGTTAAATTGTAACTTATATCTAGTATGACAAATGGGTAAGTCTTCCCTGTGGCAACACTTCAGTTAATATATGGTTTATATCCAGTGTAGCAAATAAGTGAACCGATTATACTAATTAATGAGGGATTTGTCCAGAGCGGGACGGAGCCAGTCAGATCGATGCTCTTAACGTTTCCTTTCAGGCCCTCATGGACATCCCCTGTTCTAAGTAATAATTACCTCTATTTGAAGATGTTTAGAGAGAAATATAGGTAAAAATATATATTTTTTTATATATATCAAAATAACTGAAAATAACACTAAAAAGATAGTCCACTTATCTGTCTTTGTACAGATCAAACTTAAGAAAAAGCGAGTCCTTTCAGAGGTTGTCCGCAAGGTAGGAAGTGAAAAAATCTTCTTTATTCATCCTATCAGAGAGGTTGATGGAAAAAACACTCCTGGACGTTTTCAAAAGGGTCAAACGTCCAGATTGGATGAAACGCGTCAAGGGATCCATTGCTTCTTCTCTGACACACCGGAAGATCCGTTAGGCTGGGTGTCCTTCACACCTACATGCTTTTAAACTCTACAATCTTGTAAGTGCAAACACAATTTCTGTTTTAATAAATAGTTGGATTGCTGCACTTAGAAGTGTCTTTCTACTGTTTTTTTCCCTCCGCTGAACCGCTCGGTCCGGCTTCTAATCACACCTGGTGGATGTGCCGCCAACTTGAAGTAAAAAAACGGTAATTTGGAGGAAAAATAAAACAGGAGTGTTTTTTCCATCAACCTCTCTGATAGGATGAATAAAGAAGATTTTTTCACTTCCTACCTTGCGGACAACCTCTGAAAGGACTCGCTTTTTCTTAAGTTTGATCTGTACAAAGACAGATAAGTGGACTATCTTTTTAGTGTTATTTTCAGTTATTTTGATATATATTAATTTTTTATATTTTTACCTGTATTTCTCTCTAAACATCTTCAAAGAGAGGTAATTATTACTTAGAACAGGGGATGTCCATGAGGGCCTGAAAGGAAACGTTAAGAGCATTGATCTGCCTGGGTCCGCCTGTAATAGATCCAGGATACGTACCTCTCTGGCATCTCAGACCCAGAGGGTGACTCCGCCCGCTGTCCGCTGACATCATGCCGCTCCGCCCCCCTCCTTGGCTTAAGCCACGAAAATTCACTTGTCCAGTGTTCCTGCAATGGATGTGGTGGCTGGGCAAGTTCTGAGCAGCCCTGCTCTCCTTCCTGCCACTGAATAGGCTCATTAGCCTCCTACCTCAACCCTCCAAATACTTCTGCTTACTTCAGCCTGCTGTGACTCCTGGTGCACCAAGACTGCAAGCCAGACACTGCACTTCAGCTTCCACAGCCAGCAATCAGCTACAGTCTGGAGGATTCACCGTAGCAGCCTGAGTGCAACTAACAGCAAGTATTCAATGCCACAGCTGATGATATGCACACAGCCATAATGACTTTAAACTTGTGCTGTTAATCCAGCAATACAATTGCCCTGTACTGCTACATAGACATGTGCACTGCCAAAAAATTCGTTTAGTTTAGTTTCGTTTTAAATTCGGATTTGTGTTATTTCGTTTTTCAGGATTCGGGTGTGAAAGTCAATTCGGATTCGGAATATGGATTCGGACGAAATTCGGTAGCGTTAGTACGAACGTTCGTTTCGTTTTCTGTTCTTATTCGTTTCTTATTCGTTTCGTTTGTTCGTTTGCAGCAAAAGTGACATTTGAAGGGGAAAAAATATTTTTCTCCTCTAATGTCACTTTGCTCCAACGAACAAAACGAATAAGAAGTGAATAAGAACAGAAAACGAAACGAACGTTCGTACTAACGCTACCGAATTTCGGAAATGGAAATTCGGATTCGTTTGCATTCGTTATGTCTAATTCGGAATTCGGATACATCCGAATGTCTGAATTTCCGAAAATTCGTCCGAATTTCGATTCGGAACGAAACGAATCGCTCATGTCTACTGCTACAAGCTATTTCAAGCTATTGCTAAATCTTGTAATGTGAAGTTAACATTACACCTGACTACTACTGCTCATTCACCTTGTGATGTGAGGATAACATTACAACTGTTTCATTACATATTGCTTCAATCCTGTTATGTGATGCAAAGATTACTACTGCGATAACCATACCTATAGAGATTGTCATTTACCGTGAAGTAAAAGTTGTGTTTAAAAGACTTCCGCAGCAGAGTTTCATCATTTATCATAAGAGGTATTACACCGTCCCGCTCTGGACAAATGCCTCATTAATTAGTATAATCGGTTCACTTATTTGCTACATTGGATATAAACCATATATTAACTGAAGTGTTGCCACAGGCAAGACTTACCCATTTGTCATACTAGATATAAGTTACAATTTAACTGAAGTGTTCCTACAATGAAGGTGGGTGTGGGTTTAAACCCACAAGGTGATCACTTCACAGTAGGGCTGGTAATGATTAAAATTTTCCTGTTCGATTAATCACATTTTTTTTAAATCGATTAATTTTGATTTAATTATAACGCACATACAGATCCAACTACATTGGCTTATACACATACAGCACAGCAATGAAGTAATAAAATGAAATAGGATCACACTAATCCAGCACGTTATTAATCTCACGTGCCCCACTCAATATGGCCGCCGCTTAAGTGGCGTCACGGACATCGACATCACCGGACTCCTCCCCCCTCCCTTTGTTAGCCGACAGCCACTTGGGGAAGGGGGGAGGAGTCCGGTGACGTCGATGTCCGTGACGTCACCGGATCTCCGACGGAAGACCCGGAAGCCGGCGAAGAGGTGAGTACGGACAAAAGAACTTTGATCGATCAAAAAAATGAACGATTAATCGAGGGATTAATCGTTAATTTCCGCTGCCCTACTTCACAGAGCTTTTTCGTTTGAATTATTGGTTATTATTTTTTCCCTGGGGGAGAAAGTGATCACTTATTTGCACAATCACTTTTTTCAATAAGGATGTTTACTAAAATTTGGTTCATAGATACACGGGAAATTAAGAAGGAATAGCGTGTAACGCACTCGTAACACTGAATACCTATTCGATCATCAATATAAGGTTTAAAGTTTTATTAGGCACTTAGTTGTATACAGCATTCACATAATTATCTCCATCACTTAAAAATATTATTATGGTAGAATTAGAATAGGGCATATCCTTATTTAATTTATTATCAATATTCACAACAGAGTAATTATTAAACTCATAAACACCTAGAATTATCCAAATATCACAAAGTGTATGACACACATGTAGAGATTAACATTAGTGGGAATACACAACACCAAGCGCAACATACCAGCTTTATACGAATTTCGCCAGGAGAGACAGCCAAGGGAGGGAGAGAGTAGATACAGGCAGGAGAGAGAGAGGAGAGACAGCCGGGAGTGAGAGACAGCCAGGTGAGAGAGCTGGCCTAAACCCTGGACACAGCACATACCGGGCTCATAACTCGGACTGTCTGGGTGAATCCTGCACAGGTAGCAACCCTAAGTGTAGTACAGGCACCTGGAAGATGGCAGCCAGCTCTGGAGTCGCTCCGGCCACTACAGTGCTTTACAGGATCCCCAGTGGCCGATCAGGTATGGTATAGGCATTTTTACATTGGAATAGGGTGAACCAAAATAATGCATACCTGGAGCTCAGCTTTATTAGATCAAAAGACAGCAAATAAGAGAAGTTCATTGTCTGGATTTAAATACATTATAATAACAATGTACTGCTTTGTATACTGAAATGGTTTTCACTTTGTTGCTCTCTGATGTTTCACTCACTGATGCCTTAATTTGGTAGATCGGTTTAACCAATGCTCTACATGTATTTTTACTTTAAGAAGATAAATGGACAAACACATTGAACAATGAGCTCTTTAGTCAATTTAGTGTATCTCATTTTTTTTTCATTACATAGTTACATAGTATTTGAGGTTGAATAAAGACATAAGTCCATCAAGTCCAACCTATTGCTGATGTGTGCGTATGTATGGGTCCATGTATCATCTCATTCTTAAGAGTACCTGTACCCCTGTATGTTACGGTCTCTCAGGAAATTGTCCAAAAGCTTCTTGAATGATTCCACACTCTTAGCTGAAATCACTGCCTGTGACAGAGAGTTCCAGACCCTAAACGCTCTAACTGTGAAGATGAGGCCCCTTCGCCCCTTATGCTGGAATTTTTTTTCCACCAATTTTAGGTGGTGGCCTCTAGTCTTTGTTATGAATCGTAAAGAGTTTATTGCTGATGTTGCTATCACCATTGATCATCTTGTACATGAAAATCATATCTCCCCTTAATCTCCTTACTTCCATTGTGAACATGTTTAAATTTAGTAGCCATGTCTCATAGCTTTGGTCATCCATCCCCTTAATTAGTTTGGTTGCCCTCCGCTGGACTCTTTCCAGCTCAAGGACATCCTTTCTGTGGACTGGTGACCAAAACTGGACCGCGTACTCCAGATGAAGCCGAACCAGTGATGAGTAAAGTGGCACAATTATGGACTTGTCCCTCCAATACATTCCCTTCTTAATACAGGACAAGACTCTACTTGCTTTGTTTACAGCAGCCTGGCACTGCAAGTTACCATTCAGTTTGTGGTCTACAATGACCCCCAGGTCTTTTTCTATTTCTGCCTTCCCTAGTGGCATACCCCTGATGGTATAACCCATTTGCTTATTTTTAATCCCAAAGTGCATTACTTTGCATTTATCGACATTAAACCTCATCTGCTATATATTTGCCCCTCCCCTATTTTATCCAGGTCCTCCTGTAATGTTATACTGTCTAGGTCCATTTCTATTACCCTCCCGATTTTGGTATCATCAGCAAACACGGAAACATGACTTTTCACACCCTCCCCGATGTCGTTAATAAACAGGGTGAATAGCATGGGTCCCAGCACACAACCCTGAGGCACACCGCTGGGCACCGCTCTAGCCCAGTCTGAAAAGGTGCCATTTATTGATACTCTCTGGACACGTTCCCGTAGCCAGTTCTCTATCCATGTACACACCACCTCATCTATGCCCATAGGCTTCAGCTTGTGTAGCAAGCGTTTGTGTGGTACCGTATCAAAAGCCTTTGAGAAATTCAGATATACCACATCCACCGGCCTCCCTCCATCCATATCTTTACTTACCCCCTCGTAAAAAGTTAGCAGGTTAGTTAGGCAAGAACGGTCTTTCCTGAACCCGTGCTGATTGTCATTAACTATCCCATTATCCTGAACAAATTCTACCAAATAATCCTTAATCATTCCCTCTAGCAGTTTGCACACTACCGATGTAAGACTAACTGGCCTGTAATTCCCAGGTTGGCATCTTGCCCCCTTTTTGAATATTGGGACTACCGTAGCCCTCCACTAATCACTTGGAACTATACCAGTCATTAGAGAGTCCTTAAAAATGAGGAATAATGGTCTTGTTATAACCTGGCTTAGTTCCTTAAGTACCTTGGGGTGCAGGTTATCTGGTCCCAATGCTTTATTTGCATTAAGTAGTTTAAGTCTTTGTTGTATCCCAGTTTCCGTCAACCACTGTGGTATACTTTTTGTTGAACTCTGTGTTTTATCTAGAACATTAAACCCGTCTTTTTCCTGAGTGAATACTGAGGAGAAAAAAGTATTCAGCGCCTCAGCCCTCTCCCTGTCATTTGTGACTAACTTCCCGCTTTCGTCCTTTATTGGGCCTATCTGCTCCTTTCTCCCCTTTTTACTGTTTATGTATTGGTAGAATTTTAGTTATGGAACGCCAATGCTGTCCCCTCCATCTTATATTTTATAAATGCCGCCCTCTTGTCCTTGATGTGTTGTTTTACAGTTTTATTTAGCCATACAGGCTTAGTTTTTGAACTTTTACTTTTATTACCCATCGGTATACACTTGGCAATAGCAATATCTAATGTGTTCTTAAAACAATCCCACTTTTGGTTTGAGTTCAGCTTGTGAAATAAGTTTTCCCATTTGATGTCCCCCACTAGGTGGCGCAGCTTATCCCTTCTGAAATTTAGGGTTCTTGTCCGTCCAGCCCACTTCCCTTTCCTGTTTCCAATATTGAAACTAATCACATTGTGATCACTATTATCAGCCGAAAATCGTACGATTCTCGGCTGGTTTTTTAGCATGCTCCTTAGACAAAAGACGTGCGACCGTACAGTAAAAAAGGATGCACGTCTTCCATACACTTTGCGATTTTGCGGGGTTTCCCGCGATTATCGTGCGATAATCGCACAGTGTATGGGCACCTTTACCCAGTGACTTCCCGATTACAATATTCTCAACTAAAGGTGCCCATACACTGTGCGATTATCATATGAAATTCATGGTAAAAGCCGTGCTGTGTGAATGAGACCGCAAAGTGTCAGATATAGTAGATGCTGACCTTGGA